TGAGCCGGTGAGATTTGAACAGCCGAACTGCAGAACTGCAGTCAGCTGAAGTAGCCTGCAGTGCTGCATTTAACCACTGCACCACCTTGGCTCCTGTTCCACTTAGTTGATCAGTTGATGTTGATTGGATACTTAAATATTTAGGGCCCACCCTCAGCCCCTAAATTGTAGGGTATTGGAGAATGGGCATTCTCTCTGCTCCAATTTAATGTTAACATGAAGCCATTGGATGAAGTCATTATAGCCATTGGGTGAGGTATGATCAGAATGCTGATGTTACCTAACTATGTATCTCCATCCCTGATGACGTAAGTGATGCTGCCAACATCCTGTCTTGATGTCTACAGATTGTAGGGATTTGGATAGGGAGTGACAGAGTTTAGCTCATCCCTGCCAAGACTTAATGGCTTTGGGTTTTGTAGCCACCTGTATGTAGGAATTTACCATTTTTCATTCTGGATGAGGTTGCATTTCCACATTCAGATCTTGTGTCCATTCTGGGCATACTTCTGGACTTGTGACTCCTGCCTGAAGAGTAGGTGGCAGTCATGGCTAAGAGGTCCTTTGTACACGTTCAAGCTGTATGCCAGTTGCATCCATTCCTGGATCAGGAAGCTTTTGCATATGTAACTAGAAGAATGGGGGTAGTTTAATTTTACTTTTCTTTAGAATAGTTGTTTGTTTTAAACTCCTAGTAGAAAACATTATCCCTTTTAAGCCAGCTGAAAATCATAAAAATGATATGTAATCTTCCATGTTTTAGTAAGCATTTGGTATGAAAGTAAATAAGGCACGAAAGAAAGAGAAGTGGAAAGAAAGTTATTTTCAGTCCCATGAGTCTGTATTAGTTGATGTCTTGATGGGATGAGGAGATGGGATACTATCAAGTGCTGAGAAGCAATAACTAATATCCTACATTTTGGGAATAGTTGTGCTAGCGTAATATTTTATTTTTATTTTGTTTTAAGATACTATTCCTGTACAGGTGAGTTCTGCCAGCTGTTCTGATTGTTGATTTATTGAATTCATTATATCAGAGGTGAAATGTCTGTGAGATATGCTACATGAAGTGTCTGATTTTGTAATGTAGGCATTAGCTTACTGAATAAAACTTGAAGTGGCTGTCAGAGATTGACATTGTCTCATTCTTTATATTCATGAAATCTAGCCTTTAAAAAGCAGTTTGCCTCTAGTTATGAATCATAAGCCAATGATGGTTAGTTGGCTTCCATTATTTGCTGTTAACATAACAAAAACTAAATATTTTATTTCAATTCTTATGGATAGCAACGAAAATATAGAGCTGTAAAAATGATCTATCTCTAGCTGCATTGCATATATTTTCCTTCGTCATTTGCTCTGATACTTCTGCAAAGATTTATATTCTTCAAGATCTTTTATTTCTTCTGCTGTCATGTTCATCTTTGGGAATCATCTACACATGGTGATGTATGAGAGAGTCCAATTCCTTGGATTTTTCAAATTGTATAGACAGTATACACAACTTGAATAAGAAAACATGTTTCTATCCTTATTATACAGATGGATTTGTGTTGCATCTATCAATCGAATTCTTAAAACATAAGTATCGGATTTTGAGAACACCAATGAAATAATGAAGGATTTAATTTTTTTTTGCTTCTTTAGTCCTATTTTATACTTCAATTGTTTCACAGACTTACTGAATTGTCAATAGAAGTTTGTAACATAATTCAGAAATCAGTGACAAATAGGATTATACTGGGAAGGTTAACATATAGCACTTGTTAATCATTTATGTTTATTGAAATTATGCAAAACCAAGTTTGTTTTGCATGTGCATCAAAAAGCACAAATGGTTTTCTACTTGTCTGCCCCCTCCCCAGCCCCCTTTTAATAATTGAATGATAGATCTATTCTGCCTACTCCCTGAAGGCATTTTCTATTTATCACCAGCAGTCAATACACTGGCTATTGACAGGACAGCATTTGGAAAACAAACTAATTAAAGGATATTCAGGCTCGTGTGCTGATTCCAGGATCATGACATCATATCACACTATATTTTAGCATTCAGAATTTCATAGAGTGTGCTAACTTCTATTTGCCTTGATCTTATTTGTTTGGGAAAATTAAATATCAACCTCTTTTTTAATATATGACTATTGGATTAGATAGTACAACTAATTAAATATCAGTGTTTGGAATTTTCATTTTGTCAGCCTTTATATCTTCTGTCCTTTCTGATTTGTGATTCTTGGTAAGCAAGATAATAATTGCTAATTAAATATCTAATTTTATTTTGATTGACATAGTTTATTAGCTATATTACGACAAGTCCATATGAATTCTGCAAGATAAATTTATAAAACCCATGACATTTAGAGAATGGCCCAAGATTTCATTTGGAGAAACTATGCCATTTAGTTTCTTAAAATGAAATATAGAGACAGAATAAAAACGGATGCCACTAATAATACAGATCTAGCAAAGCTTGGTAAAAAATAAGCAGTTGATGATAGCATTTTCTATCTTAATCCCCAATATATTTGTCATGAGTAAAAGCAGGAATTTTATTTTCAAGAGTCAGAGGCATTTGATGAAATATCTAGGTGTCTTAATATCTTAGTATAGATTTTCCCCAATTGTTTGGCTAGATTGCAGTTATAGGTAGTCCTCAACTTATGGCTGGTTGCTTAACAATTATTTGAAGTTACAATCAACATTCCAAGAGTTAGTTACAACCCGTTTTCAGGTACAATGGCCATACTCACCCTGTGGCTATGACGTGGTTGTGTTTTGGGCTCTTAGCAACCAGCTCACTTTAAAAGCTGTTTGCAGCCACATGTGATTGTGATTTGCAATGTTTTTTTGCTAGTTTCTGGCAAAAAGGACCTTTGGGGAGAATGAACTTGCTTAATGAACACTATTTGCTTAATCATTGTAAAAACAATTGTAACTTTGAATCTGACTGCAACAGCTTATTATCATAATTCCAGGCTCAATTAGTCATAACATTAGCACTATGTGAAGGAATCTGTACTATACCTTGAGGATATGAGACATTAGCATAATGCACTTAGACTTATATACTGCTTCATAGGGCTTTACAACCCTCTCTAAGCTGTTTACCGAGTCAGCATATTGCTCCCAACAATCTGGATCCTCATTTTACCAACCTTGGATGGATGGAAGACTGAGTCAAGCTTGAGCCGGTGAGAATTGAACTGTTGGCAGCTGGCAGTCAGCAGAAGTAGACTGCAGTACTGCATTTTAACCACTGCACCACCACTGACTTTATATTTGTTTCTTTTGTGATCACAATAGAATAAGTACAAAAGAAAGTCACACTATAATCATTGAAAAGTTAATTATTGAAGCAGAGTGCAGGACTCTGATCTTGGAGGGAAAATGTGGGTGAAATATGTTCAGGATTAAAGCTTTGGTACTGCAAAATGAATATTTCATGACCTCTCTATAATTGCTTCTAGTACAGTTAATAAAATTATTAGAAGAGTAGTTGAATTTTTCATCATTTCCATGAAATGATTGATGGCAAAGCATTGATCTACAAAAAGATCCTGTGTGCCTCAATGGGCACAAGTAGCTTAATGGACAACTTAGTGGTATTTTGCATTCTTTGGAAGTACGAGGCTAGCTATGTAACTCTTCAGTGTAAGGTATTAGAATATGCTGATACTGAACTCTTTCCCATTTTTAGGGTGGACAGCCAGGGAAGAGAGCAGGGGATTGGACTAAAAGATGTCCAAGGTCTCTTCCAATTCTGTTATTCCACAGCCCTGTTTTGGGGCGCAAAAATATGTTAAGTAGACACATAGCTATTTTCCTACTAACTGTTATTCTGTTTTAAATAATCATTTCCAAATAACTGCAAGCATTATTCAAGAAAGAGCCGAGGTGGCGCAGTGGTTAAATGTAGCACTGCAGGCTACTTCAGCTGACTGCAGTTCTGCAGTTCGGCTGTTCAAATCTCACCGGCTCAGGGTTGACTCAGCCTTCCATCCTTCCGAGGTGGGTAAAATGAGGACCCGGATTGTTGTTGGGGGCAATATGCTGACTCTGTAAACTGCTTAGAGAGGGCTGAAAGCCCTATGAAGCGGTATATAAGTCTAGTATATAAGTCTAACTGCTATTGCTATTGCTATTATTCGCAAGGATCCAAACACTAGAGGTGGAATGGATAACAGATGGTTGCTCATTCTCCACAAGAACATAGGCTGGGCTGGAAAGTACTGATTGGTCCTAAATCACCTAGTAAATGGCAGACTTGGGTTGGCTGTCCCTAGTACTAAGGTTTTGTACCAAACCTTTTATATCAGACTAACTTTTTAGCATCTTGAGTAATAGTGATACTAAATTCCCCACAATTGAAAAACAATTTTAATTGAATCTAAGACCCTGTTTCACTTTTTGGATAATTGCATCCACCCTATTTTGAAGGATGCATATATTATTTATTTCCTCTCTTCCAAACATATGAAGGCAAATTTAATATTGATTTAAAATATGATTGATAGTGTGTGTCCTAATTATTAGAAACACGTGATGCAAGAATTTTAATCACCCATTAATTTGAAAAGGTACCAACAGTTTGGATTTATGTTAATCTGATTTAGAATAATTGTAATTGTGATTCTATATCAGGGTCTTATTCTGCCCTGAAAATATTACGACACAACAGTATTGGGAGATTTACTCCATTGGAAAATAGGACTTTGAGGAATTGTGGGAATGGTTGTATCTAATATCTTTTGAAGGATTTTACAGCTATAGAGATTGATAGGAAGAGATTTCAGTAGTACTTACAAAGATTTTTAATCACTGTGTTCACAACTTGAAATAATATTAGGGTTATTATTGAAGCAAAAGAAAAAATAAAAGCAATGTACCTTGATTGGTTTTACTTTGATATTGGTTCAAAAATGTGTTTATTCTGAATAATATTTCAGGGAGGGGGAATTTTATATGCAGAGATATCCACAGGGAGGGACAAAGGGAAATAATAAAAGCATGTTATGTTGTACACTTTATCTTTTCAATTTGTGTATTGTGCTGCATGTATACAAGAGATGGAATAATAGCATAATGTTACTTTAAAAGGTTGAAAGCATTGAATCCCCCCTCCTCCCCCCTCTTGTGTGTGTGTGTGTGTGTGTAGAGAACTGGTAGTTTAAGACACTGGCAGTTTAAGATAAATCAAGGATAAGTAAGGGATGGAGGACAGCAAAAGGCAAGAAAAAAATGTGTAGGTGACAAGTTTGATTCTGTGGAGTGCCATAGCTGAGACTTGAAGTAAGTATTCCAGAAGTTGGAAATTAACATTTAATCCATCTAATCCAGTACCCTGCTAAGTGCAGGCATCTGATTTAAAACAGCCCTGATGAATACCTACCTAGTTTCTCCTTGAACACATTCAGCCAAGGAGAGCTTATCACTTGTTTATGTAATTGATTCCACTGTAGAATTGATCTTCTTATTAGGAAATCTTTCCTAATATTCAGTTGGAATCTGGCTTCCTGTAACCAATACAACTTACCTGGGCTAAACAATTACTCTCAGTAATCTATTTCAGGTTCAATAGTCTTTATTTGAAGTTCTAATTTCAAATCACCTGGATATTAAGTTTAGGCTCTGCTTTTGTTTTGGCCATCTTTTGAAATAACATAATCATTGAGCTGTATAACCTTGCCTTTGAAATCCTTTCTTCAGAATAGTTCTGACATAAATGAGAGGTCGGGGGCCATCAGCTAAGGCATGTCAGCTGGTGGGGCCCAGGAAGAGAATCTCTTTAAGCCATGACATTTCACCCTTTGGAATATTTTTCCTCTGGAGATCAGATGGGCCCTGTTCATAAAGACTTTCTTTAAGCCTTGAAGACTTGGCTCTGTGCTTGTCCCGAGTGAAGTTTCTTGGTTATGTTTAGTGTTCTATTGTGGCTTTGCATTTTTTTCCTGGCTACTAGGAGTTCTATATTTTTTGTATTTTTAAAATAATTTTAATATTGTTAGTCACCCAGAGTCCCATATATGGGATTGGTGGTTATATGCAGTAAGTCCGGTAAATAAATAAATGTAGTTTTACCATTCACTTTGCAACCATTGTTTTTACTGCCCCAGTTTTTGTGCAGAGAACTGGAGCACTGGAGTTGATGCTCATTGCTGAATGCATGCAGAAATTGTGGTTCATGAAAATAGGTCACTGTGATTTTATTAGGCTAGCAATTGAATATCCATTGACTTTTGCTAACTCCCACAAAAGCATTTGTACTAACCTGCAAGATTGTAGCCAGTTTATAACTGTTTCATGTGTGAGGAAAAAAGTTGCATTATAGTGTTTGAGATAAACATATAATGCCTAATTTGACTGACTGACAATCCGAGGACCATGTTTAGTTGTTTATTTATCAGAAAATGGTTGTGACCATGGGACTAGAAATCTCCTTTTTCAGAACCTGGTGCTAAACCTGTCAGTCAGGACAGGACAGTATGCTTTTTAGTTTCCAGTTGTTTAAACAATAAATGGGCTCCAAACCGAAACGCTGCAAATCAAAGGAACTTTGGTTAAAATGGTAAAGAAACATAAATCTTGAAGTCCCTGCATTGATTACCAGTAGGTTTTCAGTCCCAATTCAAAATCCTGGGAGTAACGCAGGGAAGATTGGACACATCATGTGCTGAAGCAGCAGTGAAAGAGGGGGGAAGGAAGGCGCTGGGGTGTTTTAGCCAATGTCCAGGTTCACCAGTAGATATATGATGGGGAGTGTAAGCTATTCCTTTGATTCCCTCTGAGTGTAACCCCAACCAAAGATTTACTTGTTGACTTGTTGACAATGAAATTAGAGAAAAAAGGGCCCTTCAACAAAGATTGACCCAAGAATGACATGCCTTCAAGGCCTATAGTCTACTGAAAGGGAAAGAAAAAAAGACAGACAGACAGACAGACGGAAAGAAAGAAAGAAAGAAAGAAAGAAAGAAAGAAAGAAAGAAAGAAAGAAAGAAAGAAAGAAAGAAATTAACTTGCAAGTTTAAAAGACATTTGGGTTTAACTAATATTCCTTTTTACATGGTCTTCCTGGGACTTGAATTTATCATTTTGGAAAAGTTTACTTAAGCCATTGCTCATTCTGTCTTTTTATACTATTTTTGTTTTACTATTTACACATATTTTGATTATTCAAAATGTGTCCAAACCAGTAGTTCTCAATCTGTGATCCGCGGACCCATGGGGGGCTGAGATGTCATCACAGGGAGTCCACAAAGCCTTGAAGAAATTTTTTATGACATAAAATTAAGTTTTGAGGGTCCGTGGCCATGGTTCATAGCCACAAAAGGTATTTAAAGAGGATCTATGCTGAAGAAAGGTTGAGAACCACTGGTCTAGACAAGCAATAATGTGATTTTATTTCACATTATGTATTCAATGTAAATCTAATATTACGTAAGGTGAAGGTGATGTTTTTCTGACTTATGAATCAGCTGAAAAAAATTACGTGCACATTGGATTTGCATTGCATCAGATTTAGTAAAATGTTAATTTCAACTTTTACAGCAGTCCATGAAAAGAAGAGGAAGCAAAGACTTGCAGAAATCAGAAAAAAAGCAGCAGACCCCCACTGAGGTGACTTCATATATTTAATTTTCCCCTAGTACATTGCAGTAAACTATGTGTCCTTAACTGACAGCTAGGGAAAGATTTAGGATTTCAACAAAGGGAAATTGTTATTGTTGTGACATTTGTGCTCTAAATTGACTTCATTAATTCTGTTCTCTATCATACCTACATTTATTTCATTCTCTGTAGATACAAATCTGAATTTGCTATTTAAATTATAGAGATTGTATTTTCTTGCATTTAAAATGAATAATTTTAGTGTCTCTGAAATGGACACCATAGTAAGGAGAAAAACAACATGATTTTATCTTCTTGAAAAAATATCCAACTTGTTTATTTGATAATAGTGCCTTTTTCTCAAGAATCATACTTAAGATGTCAAAAATTAGGTTACTTCACATGATTGCTTCCTTGAACCTATATATTAAGAAAATTATAGCATCTAAATCCTAATATATAAGTAACAAACATGATTTTTATATTTTTTAAAATATATATCTCCTCTCTCTCTCTCTCTCTCTCCCTCCTTCCCTCCCCCCCTCTCTGTATATTCCTTTGTGTTGAAGTATAAAATCTGTTATATGTTTTCAGGATTGTTTAGCATTATTAAATGACGTTGAATTGGCTTTGGGATTTTTTACTGAGCATATATTGTGAGGCTGTTCCTAAATGCCTGATCTTGAGGCAGATTTAATACAATACAATGCAGTACAATACAATGCAATACAATACAATAGCAGAGTTGGAAGGGACCTTGGAGGTCTTCTAGTCCAACCCCCTGCCTAGGCAGGAAACCCTATAGAAAGCCTCTGGAGCCTGGAGAGGGCGAAAAATGAGATCATTGCAGACTCAAAAGAGGGTGGGGTTTGCATGTGCGTGGATAAGTGGGTGGGGGGTTATGTGCGCATGCGCACGGGGTCATGGGCATAGGATTATGGATTTGGCACGCCCACCCATGAACCCCCTGCGCTCCTCCCGCTTTTGGCACGCGATGCCAAAAAGGTTTGCCATCACTGTCCCATACCATTCCAGACAAATGGCTATCCAACATCTTCTTAAAGACTTCCAGTGTTGGGACATTCCTAACTTCTGGAGGCAAGCTGTTCCACTGATTAATTGTTCTAACTGTCAGGAAATTTTTCCTCAGTTCTAAGTTGCATCTCTTCTTGATTAGTTTCCACCCATTGCTTCTTGTTCTACCCTTAAGTTCCTTGGAGAATAGTTTGACTCCCTCTTCTTTGTGGCAACCCTTGAGATATTGGAACACTGCTATCATGTCTCCCCTAGTCCTTCTTTTCATTAAACTAAACATACCCAGTTCCTGCAACCATTCTTCATATGTTTTAGTCTCCAGTCCCCTAATCATCTTTCTTACTCTTCTCTGCACTCTTTCTAGAATCTCCACATCTTTTCTACATCGTGACGGCCAAAACTGAACGCAGGATTCCAAGGGTGGCCTTTCCAAGGCCTTATAAAGTGGTATTAACATGATCTTGATTCTATCCCTCTGTTGGATTTTTTGGCAGCTGCCTCCCATGGCTTGCTCATATTTAAGTGATTGTCCCCTAAGACTCCAAGATCCCTCTCACAGTTACTACTATTGAGCGAGGTGCCACTTCTAGATGCAGTTTGTTATTTTATTTAATTTAACTTTGATAGGGTGAAAGCCTTGTGAGGCTCATTAAAAAATGATTTTTCCCGAGGCCCATCATCTATTTTGGACCAGGCTACCTTTTGTTCACACAAGTGCTTTGAATCTTAATCCCCTTTTCCCTCTAACCTAGCAAACATCTTGCTGTTGTGTTTG